TAAAAAATGCTTTAAATATTAATAAAATGTAATTGTAATGCTTAAAAATAGTTTAACATTTTGAATCCTGAATTGTTTGCACAGCTGATCAGAAAACCAAAGTTTGTTTGGCTATTTCGCGCTACCTGTGAGTGGCCCTGAAACGTGGCGGATAATCACCCCAGATTTACATTAGAAAAGTCAGGCAATTCTTGATAAAGATTTATTCCGCATCGCGTTCCCTTTATCCTTAAGGATTAATTAGTTTCATTAGTAATTATGGCTCCCACTAATGCATTATCTATGATAAGCTCAGAAATTTCAGTACTACTTACAGCAATGAAATGGAATGCGCGAAAAAATGCACGTGGATATTTTGTAATATTTTTTGTATTTATTGTTTCCTTTTTAAGGATTCCTCCAAAGATCCTATTTTTTCAAATCTTCTTTGCCTCCGCAATGTTATTAATAACGTCTCAGGTATAAAATTTTATCATAGAATCAAGTTTTTCTCTCAATTTTTATATTGCACACTTATATCCCCTCCTTATGTTTATGGTTACTTATTGCCATTGGTAATTTTTTCCAGATGTAAGTGAACTCGAGCCTATCGTCTTCCTAGCTCCGTTTCTCGATGTGATTCGTTCACCAGAAACCACAGGTCCTGTTACTGGTTTGGCACTTACTGCTGCCGATAAGTTTCTTGCATATGGTCTACTGCAGGTTAATTCTGCAGGAGCTCCAACTTATGGTCCTGGTTCCTTGCACTCAGTTGCTATAGCCGCAGAAGAGATTGCAGATGCAGTTACCCAAACAAGATTCATGGGGACAGATAGAAGTTCAGATGAAGTAACTCGATTAGTGTATTGGCATTATTTAATGAAGATTATTCAAATTAATTTTTGATTTGGTTGCTTTTTTAATCTGAAAAAGGTGTTAATATTAATTTTGTTTCTAATATTTGCTATTTACTATTCCTATTATTTTTTATTTCAGATCTAAAAATGTGTTATTTTAGTTAATTATTATATTAGTATAACCATTCTTAATAGCTCCAAAATCAG